TGATGAATGAAAAGATGTTGTAGTAATTGCATTGTGTGCATCTGTTGGTGATTAAATAGTCATGTATCATGGTTGTCATAGCAACAATGTCAAAAGGGAAATAGCAAATGTTGGACCCATATGGGAAAAGAGAAAAGCAAAATGAAATTAAAAAACAAAATAAGGGAAACCGAAACTTGATAGTTTAAGAAAAATTAGTCAGCTGTAGTTGATAGTATCAGCTTTGCTTTACCTTAAATTACTCAAGATTTGGTCCATATAAGATATTTAGTAAGAAAACAGAAAAGAACTGTTTTACATAAGAAAAGGAGAGACTCCCAAAGATGAAACACCTAAATACAAGGAGAAATTTATATATATATATAAAAAAAATAAGAATATTTAATTTACAAAGTACAATTAATTCTGCACTAGGTGTTTAAGTTAATTGATATATTAAGTGTTTTCTGTATCCAATTTTTATGGCAAATTTTTTGTCTTCAAATAAGAAGTAAACTTTTTAATGTTGCTAACTGCTGTAACCTTTTAAAACCAATTTTAGTCTTTTACACCAAATACAATTCTATCTTCTTTCATAAATGCATTATTGGTTATTAAAGTTTGTTCTCTTAATAAGTGTGGTAATAAATATATATGAATGACTTTAAAAAATGAATTACTATTACTGGAAATATTTGCACCAGTCGGCCATCCTAGATTTTAGGAATATAAAAATAAGCATTTAAGAAATGCCTTTGCAATCCTGTGTTGATAAACATATTTCTTGGTAAATAAAGCCACTTCCATGAAGCAATGAGTACAAAATTTTTACATTTTCTGTTCAATCCTGGTTTTTACTCATAAAAACAAACAAGTTTGTTTAATATAAGCAACTACTATAGAACTAATTGATTTATTAATAAGTGAATTACATGTCCAGCATGTGTAGAGTTATCTCTATTGTTACAGCAACTGAGAGTCACAAGATTTCATTTCTAACACTGAACCACAAAGACTCATTATTATTATTATTATTATTAGTTCACCTCAAAAATGTATTTCAGACAAAGATGAAAAGAACCTTTTCTTTGGATAGAAAAATCAAATTGATGATACCTACAGATTCAGCACATTGCTTGAATCTATTAATAGACACCACAAAGATTACAGCTAAACATGAAGTAGTAAGGATTTGTTAAGTAAATATTTCACTGTTATCAGATCATAATGAATTTTCTTTACTGATTTAAAATGTTGCAACTCTTAGCTTCAGATGCCATCAACAAGAAGAAGCTTGCTGTTCTCCTTTCAATCAGATTACCTATGCATAATATTTTATCTACTTGCTCTTTTTATTCATTCGTATTAATGTACTTCCCCACCTTTTCAAATTTTTGTTTTTGTCACTAAATTCATTTTATCTTTCAGTCAGAATATACACAGAAACAAAGTTTCCTTTATTTGACAGAATAACATTTTATAATTTACTTTTATTTCACATTCACATGAAATCCTAGTTTAATCAAATGGAGAGTTTCTCAAGTGTATACAATGAGTAATAAAGACTGTGGTTCTACAGTAGGATGCTGAGAATAACAGGGACTTGAATATGTGAGCAATGACAAAGTTCTAGAGACAATGGAAACAAAAAGGACACTTATACTCGACATCAGGAAGAAACAGTTGAAATTTCTAAGGCACATAATGAGGAAAGAGGGCTTGGAAAATTTGATACTCACAGGACAGACTGAAGGCAAAAAGGGACAGAGGAAAACAATGCTGGTGAGCTTGAGTGAATGGATGGTGGAACAAGGATTCAGAGAGATAGCCAAAAGATAAAATTTATTAAGAACAGGAAGTTGTGGAGAATCATGATTGCCAAACTTCTGAAGGGATATGGCACATGGAAGAAGAATAAAGACTGTATGCTTGCAGCAAAACTCTTTTCAAGAATCTGTTTTGATTATGTTATCATTCCAAAATGAAGCTATTGATTTGCTCAGTAGTTTATAGTTTTCTTCAAATGAAAAGAGAATGGAACCATAAAAACAAAATAGACATGAAAGTGAGGAAGACTGAATAAATACCAAGAGGAAATTTATTTCTGAAGGAAAAAGATAGTGCAAGTAGAGAAAACATTGATTTTCTTTTCTCAGTTATTGGAAACTGGAAATTTTCAGATACTGAGAGCCACTTCATTTTATAATGACCATATAGTCTATATTTTTCTGACAAAATGCCTAAATCCATAATCATAGATATACGTTGGGTATTAAGCAACATATTAATTTATGTACAATGACAGAAACTTTGCATCCAAATCAAAAGCCAAAATGTAAGCTTCACATTATATATGTTTATAATATTTGGGAACATTCCTTTTTTACTTGTATAAATGAAATAACTGCTATGTACAATGATCCCTCTCTAAAATAATGCCTCCTATGAATGACTAAAATGTGTATATGACAGCTTTATTGTTTGGTTAGAGAACTTGTAATAATCATTTACATCTCATGAATGGTCACACCCACAATTTTTCATAGTATAAAACCTTATCTTTACCCCTTTGAATGGCCAAACATAACCATTTCCAGGATTTACATGGGCTTTTTAAAATCAGCTTAATGATAAGACATAGCAAAAATAGAAGCCACATTATTTCATACTTTCTATGCATAATTAAGTGGGGATAAAAGTATACAGAAAAATAAAAGATATTCATAATTTTAGTCTATAAAGGCATGTTGGTAAAGCAATAAAGATTATTTTATTCCTAATAAAAGTGTTCTTTTGTTAATCTTCTGATCTCAACAAACACTCATTGCCACTTTCTTTAAGACTTTTGTGATGCCAACAAATACTTGTTGTCACTTTTGTAATGCTCATTGTAGTAGAGACTTTGTAATTGCAGATACAACTTATAGTATGCCATTGAACAATACTGGTGTCAGACACCTTCGAATAGCACTCACACTAATAGTACTTGCTAGATAATACTTGCTCAAACAGTAATCTGTATAGTGATCCAAATAGAGGAATAGTATAGTGAATAGAGTAGAGAATAGCGATCCGAATATTAATAGAGGATAGACTAGAAATGATGATCCGAATAGTAATAGAGGATAGACTAGAATATAGTGATCAATAGTCATCATGATAATTCCCATACATATATATGGTCACATGATCTACTTAATTAAATAACAGGATCGCTTGTGTTTGCTCACTGGTGATCTGTGTTCAAATTCAAGTGTCAGTAGCAACACTTTACTCCTATATATATAACAATTAATGGATGTATTTTCACAAGTTTGCAGCAAATATTCTAAAGTAGGTATTCTTGAAACAGATAAAAGATAAACTTAAAGAACTTTTAATCACCCACTCATCTGCTAGAATTAAAAAATCTTTATTTTCTTTTATACGCACACAGACATTACATATACAGAGGAAGAGTATGATTTCACTGATTATTTAGAGATAATAGGTAGTTTTAGAATAATATTATCTACCATTACCAAGTGAAGTTTAATAAGCAATTTTAAATATGTCCTGAAATCAATCATGGGTAATGAAAGCCAACTGAAGTTAAATTGTAAAATGTTAATGTTATGAATACACTTATACATCTTGAAGTAACTTCTGTCAATGTATGTGTATTTAATATATATATATATATATATATATGGTAGAGGTTATAATTGTTCCAACAAGAGAAAAGTGTATATTTTAAAAAGAAGATAAATCGCAAATGTTTTTGGTTGAAATGTAGATTTTTTTATTTTAAAATATGTATTATACTCTATTTTCCATAATTCTGTTACATGTGTTTCTTGTTTCGCAACCTTCTTCAAGCAAAGAGTAGATATTTCCATATATTATAAAAATGAATTCATTTTTATATGTGGAAATATCTTAGCAGTTATTACACTTGAAAAAAGTTCCCCTTCTTTTAAATAAATACATATATGAGTACATAATTAAACTGGGAAAAAAATATTAAATTTGTTGAAACTTTGTAAAAAGAGCAACTGAGAAGAGATTATAAATCCCCCCAGAATATCTGATCAATTATAATATGTCTCAAGCAATAAACAAAACAAAAATATTTTACGTCAAGTATGAAGGATGCGCTGAAAGAAACGACTCCTATTTATTTCCATGGAAACTACAACAGATACAGCGAGCACAATAACATTATTTAGTAGAACATGTTTTCAGCCATAAATAAATTATCTTTTAACATAGTCATTACCATTAACTATTCATTTTTACCTATGATGAACAAGGACCTGCATAAAATACTTTACCCACTGCCTAACTCTGCTCTCATTCACTGTTTGGTCTTCATAAGTTTTCAGGAAGCATTGATGAATGTCAGTGATTGCAGTGTTTTTCAGCCTGAAGGAATTCAATAATACACCGCTGCTTCTGTATGCTAAAAATTCACAAAGTCCAAATCTCCATGTACACACACACACACACAGCCTTCTCGCAAAGATTTGTAGGAAAAGTCAATTGCTTTTTCTGATGGACCCTTATCAGTTTTTCAATTTGGAGAGCATAGAAATAGATTAGCATATTTTTCTATGAAATCCATTCTGCTGAGTGAAACTTGAAACATGATTGGTTAACAGAAGCTAATTTACATAACCTCAATGACCTCATTCAGTGGCAAAGCATTTTTCTTTCTTTCTTCTGCAAAAGCAGCATGCAACATGAAAGCGATTTGACCAAAATCACCATTTTCTTCTGTACAGCTTCATATGCACTTTCATGTCAGACAACATTACATGAGACTACCACTCAGCTACTACTGGGGGAAAGAAAAAACAATTTGGCCCCTACTGTCAAAAAAACACTTTTGACATCACTAGACAACAAATTAAAATAGGTGACATTACTTTCAGAGTGACTCTTGTGCATAATAATTCCTCTTTGTCTCATGAAAATGAAAAAATGAAAATAAAATTAAAGTTAAGCAAATTTGAATTTGCAGAAAAGTAAGTTGCACTAACCAGTCTCCGGGCTTGAGGGTCAGCTCCCTGCCGTAGCAATTCTCGTACACATTCTAAATGGTTGTTTGCAGAGGCCAGAATCAAAGGTGTGGTGCCTTCCTGTAGAAAATAAATTTTATTAATAAGATGGAATAGAAAAAATGGATGTTGTATTTCATGAATGACATAAACTGCTTCAAAAAGATAATCTGATTGAAATCGGCATTTATAATTATTTCACAACAATAGAATATTTAAAGATTTTAATTCAAGATGAGATCGTAGAATAATTTTTACGGGCAATGGATACTTTGATTTAATTGTGTATTTGTTTTAACTTGATGACTAATTTGTCTCATAAGTTACACAATCTTGATATGCAATCAAAACTTATTAAAAAAATAATGGCTGTGAAATTCTTTACTCAAGACTCATGCATCTTTATTTTCTTCCTTAAATTGATCCCAGTATAATTTGATATCTTCAAATAGTCACCCATTTCAAGTTTTACATGCCATAACTCCATGATCATTGTATTCACATTTTCAATGTATCATTTGCATAATGTAAATGAAGAGAATAACTTGCTTATTTAGAAATTTGTCTAAAAGCCAACTAAATATTTTTCCAATAATAAAAACAGCAAAAACACTTGGATATTCTTTTACATTGCCAAAATTTCTGGCTCCATTTTTTTCTAGAGAAAGTTAAATGATTATATAAAGTTAATACAATTGTTCACTGAACAATTGCTGTCTATTTTTCTATTAAAATGTTGAACTTTTTTTGATATGCCTGGTGTATTGATACAATCGTATCCGCATCACTGAGTTTGAGCTTTTTACCAGGAGCCAGAATACATTTTAAACTAAAACAATCCCTCATTTAGGCTTATTGTAAAAATAGTTTCTGTTGCTGTTATTTTTAATAAGGCTTTAAGAACGTTGCAAAAGAAATAATAATTCACTTCTGACTTACCATCTTATTCACATGCAATCAGTTTTATTACCATGTTTTTTTCTTAACTTAAAAACACATATAATAGGTCTTTTTTCACAATATAAAATAACAGACAATTATATCTCTCAGAAATTATATAAAATAAACAAACACCATGAGCAAATTTGAATTTGGATTTAAAATAAAATCTCAAAACAGGACAATTCTGTTGTATCTCATGTACACACTGATCGGTCTATTTGGATATAAATTTTGCTACCATAGTGAACTTGCTAGTAAGTAGGTAACCTTTAAAAATGCATCCTTGAAATTTAATGTTCTTTATTTAAAAATGAGGATACTAAGATCAACCATTCAACCTATCTCTGTTTATTTTTGCTATTTCTATATTTATTATTATATAATCATACATATTCACTTAAATTAGTAAAACATTGCTTTAAAACAATAAGTTTATAAGGAAAATAATACATTTCCTGATATTCTAACAAAATAAGAGTAAAAGTTGATAAAATTTGATCAAAACTTTTTCAGCATGTCCTTTTATCTTATAGAGGAGAAATAATGGAATTTAATACCAGTTACATCAGCAATGACATGTGAAAAATGTTATGAGCATCTTTACTGAACATCATTTAATCTTACTAAAAGTCCATTATAAAGCAGTTATTCATCCAACAACTGAATGTGCATATAGCAATTGTTGGCACAGAAAGTGGAATTGGCAAATTGTGCTCAAATTTCAGCCTGGCTTCTTGTGTTTATTTTTGCACAAGTGCCCTAGGGAAAGATATTAATCCATCTATGGGTTAAATAACAGGGCAGACTGGACTCTCTAGCCTTGGTTGATAATTAGTCTAAGAGAAGAAAAAATTTGAATTTCAAACCATGGAGAAGGCAACAGAAAACCACTTTCTCAAGATGGCATGACAATTCACAGAAAATGAAGGCAAAGGAATCTGTGGATAGCCATAATTACTTCTGAAGAGTATTTTTTAATCTTTAATACAAGTGATTTTATTCAAGTTATAAAAAAATTTCAATTGATACAATTTGGGATTTTACAATGAGGATAGGTAAACAAAAGATTCTGAAAGCGAACTTCACATGACTCAATTTGAAATAAAAAAATGTACAAATATTGGTGTTAATTCAATGGATATAACTATATCTCTATTGACCTAAGATTGATTGTGGCAATAGTTGTAACCAAGTATTAACATCACTAATGATTCACTCGACTGTATCTTTGGAATGTGTTCAGAGAAGCCAATCTCAAAAAAGGATAATTTATGGTGGGAACCAAAATCATTTTTTTTTTCACATGAAAAATACAAACTGACTAAAGGCAAAGATGTCTGTAATAAGCCTGTAGATTACCAAAACATCTTTATCAGTTGAAATGCATAACTTATTCTACAATAAAGTTAGTTTATATCTGGAAACTAAGTATAAATAAATTACAAAATACAGTAAAATGATTGCATGATTTAGGAAATATGCCAAGTTGCTTTTGAGCATCTATCAAAAAGTAATTATATCATTGACAATTTTATGATCTCTCAACCCAGAACAATATATAAACATTTTTCTGTTTCAATATATAAACATATTTCAAACATCTTTCTGTAAATGCAGGAAGCTAGTTGCTTGAAGCGATTTTGTTTTTCATGTCATAGGTTCAAAAGTGTTGTTGATATGAGGAGGTATTAACAAATTGTTTTTACATGCAACTTTGCCAGCATACAGAACTTTGTGGTAACCCCTGAGCGATGCACAGTTCTAAGCCTAACCAGAATAGGCAAACCTCCAAGTTCCAAAATGAATACAGACCACACTTTATTATTATCTCCAATCTTATCACCAGACAAGATAATAGTGAAACTGCATTAATTTGATGCATTGTGCTTCTTATGTAAGGTAACAAAAAATGGTTTGCCTACTAAAAAGTAAACAGCATCCATATAAGGTTTGAAATGCATGTCATAGTAGCATTAAAAATAACACAGCATATAGTTGGAATAGATGTTTTCTGATGCCTGCCATGGAGACTAAAAAAATACATGTACTATTTTAGAATTTGATTCAGCAAACAAGAACAACAGGGGATTAAAGTTAACGTCTACTATTTTTTGGAAAACCTTTCTTGAATGTATTTTTATAGCACTCTCATGATGCACAAACTAATAAAGAAAATAAACATTCAATAGCTCACTAAAGTCATTCTTTAGGTGTTTCATAGAGTATCTTATAAACAAGTTTAGTAGAATAGTTCATTACACATATTTATAATATATATATATATTATAATAATAGTAATATTAGTAATAATAATACCTCTTAATATACCAAAAATTATATAATTCTATATATATATATATATATATATATATCAAGATGAACAGAATCTTTACCAATAAAGTGCCAACAAATAGTTATCTAGAGCAGTGGTTCTCAAATGGTGCACCTGGACACACTTGTATGTTTGATTTTATATTTTTTTTATTGCATTATTTCTTTTCTGCAATATCTGACTTCATTATAACATATTTTTCTGAAATTTGTATATAGTGTACCTACAATTATTGGTAGGATTTCAACTGCACCCTGACTTCAAAATGTTTGCTAGGTGATATTGTTATTAAGTGAAAACTATATTTATGAATTGAAAATTAAAAAGCATTTTGCATCAAGATAACGCAACATAATCAAAAAATAAGGGCAATGACTATAGTAAATTTAAATTCAACATTCCTATAATTAGATTACAGAGAATATTTTCCATTTTAAAGATTACTGAGTACTTAAAAAATTATATAAAAAAGGTGCTCACCCATCATTTTCTTAAATTATATTTTAACAGATAAAGTCTCTGCAGGACAACAAGTAAATCTGTCAACGCCTGTTAAGTGATCTACAAGTGACAAGTGAAGGGAACAAGCCAGGGACAAGTACGTAATCACAGCTACTGTTTGTTTTAAAAATCCATTTCTCTGTTATTTTAAACTTAAAGTAAATAATATTTTTTCAGATCGGATTAATTATACTTTAAATAAGCTAATATTCCTCAAATAAATTTTTAGAAAAGTATATTTTATTTTTGTAAGTTTTTTAAAACCAAGAATTAACTTTTGTCTACAAATGTTTCAAAAATGGACAATTTTGTGAAAGCAATCAAAAAGTTGAGATTCCAATCAATATAATTTCTATTTGAAATACACCAGAGTATTTTGCTTACAGGAAATAGTAAATTTAATCATTTTGCTTTAAAAAAAAGAAAGATTCAGAATGTTTTTTTCATTTTTAAAAATTCATTTAAACTGTAGGTATGAAAAAATAAGTGGAGGTACCTACTTTTCTATAAATATTTTCATGGTAATTTTTCTTATGAACTTTCTCCTATAGTACCTGGACTTCATAAATTTAAATGTAGTACTAGATTATTGGCAAAGTCTCATCATCTTACAGCTGAAATGTCTAGATGTAACCATAAGTTATATACTAACAGTTTCTTCTATCACACTTCTTGCTTGTGCAACTGTCTTCCAGCTTCTTGCTTCCCAATCAACTTTGATCCTCAAAAATTTAAATGCAATATCAGTTGTTATCTTCGGTCTTCTTAATTCTTGTTCATTTACTGTTCTCTCTCTTTAATAGTTTTTTTTTTCATATTCTCTCACACTCAGTAACCCCATGCACTTAGTGGCTTTATTGCCTTGCTTGAGGTAAAATGGTTAAAAAGAAAATGAAACTTTCCCACAAATTCATTTCCCTTTTTGACTTGCCAGCTGTCCTCTTTATTATTCAGATATTAACTGATGTCATTTTTAGCTCAAGAACAAAAATTCTTATGCTTGAGTGAAATTAAATAATTCCTGAATGCAATGTAAGATATAATTATTTATTAAAGCAGCTCTATGATTCATATTTGAAAAATTATATCTTATAAGCTGTTAGATTGATTATTATATCATGCACGATTATTATTATATCACGTAATTATAAACCTTTTGAAACCATTATCAACAAGGTTATCTAACACATGAATAATAGATGTTAATACTATATGCCTATCACAGATTGCATAAGTACAATGCTAACTATTCTAGTTTGAACATAGATTTTTTTAGTAAGATGTGCATTAATGTATCTTGCTAACT